CACCTAAAAGAAGCATAACGAAATTCATAAACCATGCAGGCAAAGAACATGCCCAAACACAATCACGGGCATACAAGTCTAACGAATGAAAAATGCTGTGCATAAACGTACAGGCAGGAGCTTCTTTGTTTTTTCTTTTTTAATGCCAAACTCCAAGGCGACCAGCTACTAGGTTCTATTACTAGGACCACCCTACTACACAGGGAAACCCTATTCCATTTAGCTCAGACATAGGATATATAATACAATTCCATTGTCCCTGCCAAATAAAGCTATCTTACTTCTTGTATTCATAAATCTTGACTAAAAGCAAGAGAATGCATTCACAAGTTAATACAACTCCTCTGCTTCAAAACAGCAGTGGATGGCAGATATTTTAACTCTACATCTGAGACTTTACCACCAAGAGAAATATGTTTTGTTCATTGTCTGCTATCCAGGTAATGATGGAAGAGAATTTAGTCTTCTCTATAATGCTGGAGGGATAGAAGGACATGCGAAGTTTAGCCATGACAAAGACTACCAGCCTTAGCATTTTCTTAGGACTTGTGGGTCAAGAGGAAAACAAAAGATTTTAAGGATAAAATGTCACATGAAAGTCCTTGCTTAATCTATTCCAGGAGTAAGTAGTTCATCCCACACAGTTATTGATATGCTGGTGGACTACAGTGGTACATTTTAAGCTAATCCTTGTACCAGATTTGTTTCAAGCTCTTTTAACTGGAGAAGGGGGAAAAACTGTCATTTATTGTCCTTGACCAGGATTACTTACCTCCTTTAGTCCAGGACGCCAAGGCGGGAGGTTGTTGTCTGCCCTCAACAGAGAAATTAGCATGGGCAATCCATACTGCTACGAAAGCCATATAGATGAGCACTACTTTGTAAGTATTCACAAAAAAAATGTTGAAGTACAAAGTTTGACTGCATAAAACAAGATAAAAATAATAATCATAATAATAGAAAGTCAATTTCCGTATCTTAACCTGTTTGAAATTGGTCCAGACATTACAATCAGGACCACGACCATCACGAACTACGCGAATATCGATATCTGCACCCTGAGAAATTCACATTAATGGCACGCAAAAGCAAAAGAAATCTTAATTTTTTCAACCAAATGTAAGGTATTCAACCAGAAATGTTATGCGAAACAAAGCCTAGTAACAGAAGTTTTAGTGCACATAAAATTACACACCATTGTCATTGCTCCAAAATGAGCTGCAGCAATCAGGATGCTTCCAGTACCAACAAAAGGATCATAGACAAGTTTCCCAGTTTTGGCCTGTGCTTGATTGGCCATCAGGAAAGCCATCTCTGCATCCATGGCTGTGGGACCAAGGTAAGTGCGGCTTTTTAATTGGTAAGTTGGCAGAAGCTTCCTATCTGCAGCCCCAATCTCTCGACCAAAAAAAATTCTTCTGCGGAAAATGGGAGGAAGCCCATTGTTAGATCCGTAATTATCAGTTTCCATGAGCCAGAACTTGTGATCAGGGTGGCTTAGATTGACCTGACCCTGTAAGAACCAAGGTCACTTAGCATCTGCTAACAACAGGAACTATCACCCCAAAAAAAAAAAAAAGAGGAAGAAAGTTGGCAACTTCTATGAACAATGATCCTTTCACCACATTAAGAGGGACTATGCAAAGATCTGTACGTATGTCCAAAGATGACAGTAACCTTTACAGGTCTCACAATTACCACCATAGCTTAATGCAGAAAAAGAAACACAAAAGTAATGCTAGACCAAGAAAATTTTATGTACTTGCTGGTACCCACTATCATACCCTTCTTTCCCAAAACATTAGAGAAACGAGATAGGAAAGTTATCAGTACATCGAGATTCTTAAAGGCAAAACAGAGCAATTTATCCAAGATTGGTGTATCAACGAAACAGAAGAGAAAGTAAGACCATGGAGCAGATGAAACACCTGAAACTCAATTTCAGACACAAGACTGCATGAGACTTTTCCTTTTAACCGGAAACTGCAATAGTCAAAAAGTAGCACCCAGCACCACTTTGCAAGATATTAGAACACCTACCCACTTTTAAATACTAAAATTTACTTTGCAATTCCAATCAATCAGGAATACACTTTGTGAAACCAAAATTCCTAAAATAACTTTGACATCATACTCATGATGGGGGGAAATGCACTATGTTGTGCCCCTAATAATGAGACAATCAGAAAGGGATACACAGATACAGCTTCACAACTGTTTGGCATATGGGGAGGCAACCTTGCGGACTTATCAATGTTGGAGATTTCATAATGTCTGAGTTCCTTTCACATTGTTCTTACAAGTTACGATTTTCAGAAAAGGAAGGCAAAAAGGAAAAAGGAATTTTAAGAAAACAAAAAAGATATCATAAATAGCTACAATCTTATCTTCCAACAGGAAGCATGCAGAAGTAAGGCTAGTTCAAAGAACCAAAAAAAATTCGTAGCATAGTCTACCATCTATCAAAATAATCCAAATTAAAAGCCATGCAAGGTATCATCTGACATGAACAACAGATAATCTAAGCAACAGAAAAAGGAGAGGATCAGATCCTTATACAAATAGAAAAGGAGATAACCAAACCTTAAATGGAATGTAAGAGAGCTGTTGAATACGATCATTCTGCTCTTGAAAGCTAACAACTTTCCCAAAACTGTCCACAGTAATCTTGAATGTGCTTTCAGATGTAAGGTATGGCAACTTCTGCTCATCTGGACAACTTTTTATAGCCTCTTCCAGCTCCTCAAAGCTACTTCCTTCACCCCAGAGCTCATAAATCCCCTTTACAAGAATGCCTAAACATCCAAGACTTCAATTCGTCATATACTCATTCACGCTTCAAGGTGACTATTGACAATAAGGAAATGATTGTGTTGAATCACAGGAAAATCTAAATTGAGCTCCAACCAAAAGGAAAAATGGATATTTATGGAAAATTCTGATCTGAGTCAATGTCTAGTTAAACAATCCCAAGATATAACATGATTTTCAACTTCCTTAACAATCACGGTTAACTCCTTCAAATGGAGTAAATATTCTCTGCTTTTATGCAAGAAATGAGAAGCATGCAAGGATACGGATATTAAATTGCATATATGACAAGAATGATGAGGCGCATATAACAATCCAGAACAAAGATTATCAACGAATTAGCTGTAGGGGCTGTTGTCAACTAGCATATTAACATTTGTCTGGACACCGTGCTTCTCTACAACCTAAATGAAGATCTATAAAAACTCGGCAGTACCCATAACCAATTGAAAAGAAAAATTTTAGTCTAATTTTCTTTAGCTATAAAACTTACTCTTCTTCTTAAAAGCAAGCTAACAAAAACATACCATCCACTGCAAACAACATATTATGAGGAGAATATATTCAAGCGCAACAGCTATTACAGCCACTTCAGTTTAAGCAGCAAGATTCCAGTATTCTTTTCCCCTTCTACTACGAGAAGGCCCCAAAGAAAAAACACAATAAATTATCAAACTAACAAAAATAATTGGAGGTAAATATAGTAAATAATAAACAAAAGAATGTATTAGACGAACAAAAGGAGATGCCTTGTTGCTTACTTCTATTGGCTATATTGCAGGCGATTTGTTCAGATGGGAGATTAACAAAATGGAAGGGAGAATCAGGGTGGTGGTCCTCTGGAAGCCTCCACTCAAGCGACTTCGATTGTGGGTCGGTTTCTTTATCAAAGGCCCCAAAGAGGTCTGCTAGAGATTCCACCTCCGGCCTTCTGTAGTCCAGCAACCTGTGGTAAAATACGCATAGATACCACATTATTTTGTGCTTCCTTATCTTTTGCTAACTTTTATTTTTCGCAGAGATAGTAGGACAGAGTGGTGGTCGCCCAAGTTGTTAACAGCGGACGGCGGCTGCCGGATGGCGGCGGAGGAGCTGTACTACTCCTCCAGGAGTGAGGTGTTCCGATACCAATATCCAAAACCCAAAACGCCAAAGCCCTGCCACCGCGCAAGGATGTTCCGCTAATAAGTTTAGTCACGCGTTCTTTTCTAAGTTAAATTAAAAATATGTGGGTTACTCCAATTTTTGGCATCAAAATACAACTAGCAACATTTATTGGTTTTTATTAATCGAAAGTGTTGCGGCATCAAAAATTCCACCTAAATATTTTTTTTTATTGAATTTGACCTTCAAAATATCAATTCAGTTGGAATTAAGAGTTTATATTGAATGCAGCAACGTTCAAGAAATCTCATTAAAATTAAGAACTTGTACCGACTGTGAATCTCAAAAAATTAAATTCAGTTAAATTTGAAATTTTGTGTTTGAATGCAAATTCAAAAAATTAAATTAAATCACACGCAAAAACTTTTTACTGAATGTGATATTCAAAATAACTACGTTGGTTAAGTTAAGATTTTGTAATCAGTGTGGTGCCCAAGAAATCATATTCAGTTAATAAAAAATTTTGTCGTAAACATGACTTTTAACGGATCAAATTAAGTTAAATTCAAAATTTTGTATTGAATTCAAAGTTTAAGGATCAGGTTAAACCTAAAAATTTTTGTCGAATGTGACCTTCACAATATCAAATTTATTTAAAATCAAGAATTCATACTGAATGTGATGTTCAGTAAGTCACATTCAGTTTACTTACATCCAAACTTCGTAGCAAGTGTGACTTTCAACAAATCAAATTTAATTAAATTCAAAGTTTTGTACTAAATCTCTTTTGCATTTTGCAGGTGTTTGCATCCATATGCTTATTATTGTATACACACATTGAAAAATCTGTACGTAGTAGTATGCAATTTAAATATTTGACTGATTATATATAGTAGTAACTCTTTAAGTTAATTGGATATTAAGTACCACTCATTCCAACAGTTGGCTATATTTTGAATCGAAATAATTGTCAATCAATTATGTTTTGATAATACTTTGATGAATTGGCAATCATTAAGCCTTCATCATCCTGTTTAAAAACTGGCAAAACCTTCGTGCAAAATATCCTTTTTGAAGTCGTGTGATTTTGTCCGCCCAATCGACGGTTAATAAGGCAGAAGATAAGCAACAACTGCCTATTTCTTTTATATCACATATATATATATATATGTCCTAATATGCAGTAGTACATCTAAGTCGCGAAAGCCTTTCAAATACACATGCTGATATGCAACTAGGCAAGTAAATCTGAAGCTGTTGATTTCTTCTTGCCCCCTTTTTTCTCCCCACTCTCTCCCTTCCCACTTTACGTCTGGGGAATAAAAATTTGCAGCACAGATGCAGAGTCAAACATGCCTTTTTCCCCTCCTTCCAAGTTAATTTGTGCGGAACAATCTTAACAGTTGAGCAGAATTCTCGAATTGCCATCTACACGAATATGACTTCAAATTTAGCACAAGGATTGCTTTCTATGTGATTTCTAAACTCACTGTCCCCCTTAAATGTAAAGGCATACAATGCCTGTCTCTGTGTCATGCCAAGAGGATATATTCTGTGAACTTTTAGCCCATCATCTCCTCTTATCTTTTCTGGTCTTTCTTGTTTCCAAACTGGCACATGTTTCGCAGACTTGAACTTTGACAGCACCGCGGACCGCAATGCCTTCAAGGTTAAATTGGATGACCTGCCCAAAAAGGTCCAAGAATGAGAATGCAGGAAGGGTTGGATTGGTGTCAAACGACAAAATAAACATGCATTTGGGGTAAAGTAAGAAAGAAAATCCAAATTCATCGACTTGTTCATCTAAGACGACAAACACATTCCTGATCCACCCACAAAGTCAGGTACAGTGGACTGACAATCTTCAGTCTCTACGACGAAAACTCAATAGGTCAAAAAGAATACCTTAGAAAAATCGACACCATCTCAAACCTCCCTCTTTCGCGAACATATACATGATAGACAGTTTCTATGCCTCTGGTGCATTTGCATGGCCGTTTTTTAAACTCTACTTTTTTCTCTTCTCTCTCCTGAACTTTTGTTGCCAAGAAAATGCATAGACGACAAGAAGAATGAACTGCAGCCATATCAACAAGGGCCTTGAAAGAATCTGATGGGCCCTCAAGCTTCCACCTACAAAGTAGACTCAAATTTTCCTCAAACTGCGGAGTGGGTAGAAAATTAAATTTCCACATGTAATACAAGCAGCAAAAGAGTAAATTTTGATATCAATCGACAATGACATGAGCAGAAAAAAGTAATAGAGGAAACTGACTGCGAGCCCATTAGAGAAGTTGTACCATAATCTTTAACTAGAACAGGCAACATAATACTAACCAAGATGATGTATACGAAAGTCTACTAAAAGACTGGCCTATATACAAATGATACTCACCTTAATGATTCATTATATGCACCAGGATTTTCAGCAAGATATGTCATATGCTTGGCAACCGAATCAACATCATTTAGCTCTTTAATGTGTAACACAGAGCTAGGAGAAGGAGCAAAATCTTGGATATTTGGTGCACCCACAACGACAGGAACAGTTCCTACAAGTTCATGTTAAAGCTCCTTCATTAGCAAAACAATGAGATATGAAATCCATTCCCAACATATAGGCTCTTTTCACACATCCACAGCAATTACTTGGACTACATTGTTCTTTAAAAGCTATAACAAATGAGACACAAGACATTACTTCAGATTTCCATCTGAAATCATCCGAGAAATAACATTTCTCAATGCCACAAAAGTATAAGAAAACCTAGTTAATTTCCATCAGAAAGTGCTATCTCGAAGCTTGAAAAGGAAGAATTTTGAAGGAAGGAATCGAAAAACAACATATTTCATACCGGCCACAAGAGATTGGAAGAACTTCTCAGTAACATAATCCTCCTCATTTGAATTCTCAAAAGCCAAGCTGAACTTGTAACGCATCAGCGTTTTTACCTTGTCCACTGCACAAAATTATAACTGAAGTTTAAACAATAAGATGTGCCAGCCAGCAGCATATTTCCACAAAAACACTACCTTATCAAATACGAAACAATTTAGCATCAACATTTATACAATCTATTCAAATGAAAGCATTAACATCCACTACAAAGATTTTCTGCAAACTTCTTAGATGCAAAATAGTAACCAGATATCAATTGAAAGCAATGGCTCTTCTCCTGTATTTCTAAAGAGCAGAAATAACTCCAACAAGGAAATTTTAATAGCTTAAATAATTAGAAGGCCATTAATCCCACAGTATCTAAGAACCAGACTTCAGCTTAAAGACAATAAGAAGACAAAAACATTAACAGTGCAATATGCTCACCATTTCCACCACGATTTCGATGACAACTTCCATAAGAATCAATTTTGATGTTAGCCCTCTCAAGTGCTTCAAGAGCTTGAAGTCGGAAGTTTCGAGCACCACAATTAGAAATAAAAGCTGCTGCCAAAGCACTCTCAGTTTTTGGTTGCAAAGGTGCCATTATATCATACTCAGCCCAAGAGAAATACCCAACCGGAACATCTGAAGAGAGACTTGTTGTCATAACAATATCATATCCCCTCCTGATGCATGATGACAAAACCACATATTATCAGTCCGTGAATAATTGAAACTAGAAAAGTTCACAAGAAATGGAGGGAATTTATATCATAATCAATACAAACTAAAGTTGTATACCAGGATAAGCCACGCGTCAGTAAGGTACAACTTTTCCAAGTATATATCATTAGTTCCATTATTTGTTTCTTTCACAGATTTCTACCGCAAATACAAGAAAGAGCCTTAGAATAGTAGCAGTATTTCTATATTATGATGCATGGCAGCTCTAGGCTAATAGCACAATAGCATTTCCAATGTCTTCTCAAATAGTTTGTGCCGTGCATTTACCTCAGTTGCCATATTCCAGAATGGCAAAAATAAAAAAATGAGGGGGGGGGGGGGCCAGCAGAGGGGACGGTGAAATAATTAGCAGCTACAAACTGTCAATTCCACCAAGCTCCCAATCCAAAATAGAAAGAAAAGAGTTAACAAGATATTTCATGACACATTAAAAAACTACAGATGGGGAAAGAATATACCCTTGCATTCCATCTTTCTCATGCAATCAAGCAACAAGAATGTGCCATTCTTTTACAAAAGACCACTTTTAATGATCCTACCAGCAAGAACAAGCATGTGTTTATATTCTCGTCAAGTATCAAGACAGTCACATTCTTAGTTGCTCTATGATGTTGGGTGACAAGTCCTTTGACAAATTACAACTAAAAAGGTATATTTAATTAACAATTCGCTCCAGCCTTCAGCATCTTATTCTACAAGCATGATAATCAAGAAAGTCAATTTGTTCTTGCATTTTCCCATAGCAAAAGCCTGCTAATGCATTGAGTTCATCAGGACCATAAATACGAAACCGAGAGAGAGAAAGAGAGCAACAACATCAAGTGAGAGACACCTAGTAGTTTTATGTGCGAATCTAAATATGCAAAGCAACTTGTTCAAATTAAACAATGGATACAACTTACAGCAAAGATACTTTAGTGCGAAAACTGTTTCAACTCGAGGCAACGTTTAACAAGAATTAGGTTTTCAACAACATGAAAGAGACAAGGTCAATGAAATGTGAACATGCTATAGTCAGTTCTTACCCACCGTCGTGCCATAGCAACATTGTTCTCTGCATAATATTGAGCTGACTCCATTGATCGAAGCACGCTCGCAGCACCATCTTGTTGAGGTAAACCAAATGCAGCATCAGGCTTTCTATTGCTATCAAATCCAAATTTACATCCCACAGAACAGGACTTCCACTCCTAAATTGAAGCAAGTAACATTAATAAATACATGACCCACATAATAAATTATTACCCAACAAGCAAAACCAAAAGGAAAGATATTTTTACTGTATTAGGATGCTAGAATCCACATAACCCAATACAAATTTCAGAATTTATGTTCCATCAAGTAAAGAAAATTGTCATTTCTTCAAATTATTAATAAGCTTTAAAAACAGGATAGCGATTAAAGGCACGTGTGATGGTGCAAAACACAACATCACCCACCTTTACATTAATACGGTTTGTTTACATTTTTCTAAAATCAATTTGGACATTATCATAATAGGACACCTACCAGGAAAACTACTCAGTGCTCTAAATAAAATCAACAACTAACGAATTATTGAAATTAATCTACTGTAACTTTAATTTAGCAAAAATTATGGTATAGCACATCTGTTAAACCTACTTCACAATTACTCTTCTTTAAATTTCTCATCATAGAATAGGTTGTGTCACTACCCTATCCGACCCTACCCTACCCTATAAACAAACAAAAATTTGGACTTTATACAAAGATTATCCACCAGTTCATCAATACTATTAAGCAGCAGCCTTGCAATTCTGAACATAAAATAGAAATTTCCAGATTAACTACTAGTATCAAATAACAAAATTTTAATGAAAGAAAGGGAAAAAATGGAAAACCTGTTCAGCACCAGTTACAAAGATGGGATCTTTCTGAAAATCCCTAGAGTAAGCCACCGAGTCCTCTTTCTCCAACCACTCCTCACAGGTATTTTCCACTTCGGAGCCGCTCTTCCGATCAAAATCGTGGCCGGTCACACTGGTCAACCCGGCGTCTGCCTCATCTTCACCGTCGCCCATATGAATATGCGTTGTGGTGGTGGTGGATGAGGTAGACAACCAAGACGACGACGTCGTATACTGGTAAAAGGAGTCAGCCCAGGAGTTGACTAAGTCAACGTTCTTGTCCACGTCCAGTCGGCCCAGAAAGGCGATCTCTGCAATCACCACTAAACTCACAATCAGAGGCATCAGATTCCACCATTTCTTCTTGGAGGTATTACTGTTACTGGTGGAGGAGTAGGATGGCCCGCTTGACTCTTCGAATCTGGGATGCCTCTGATTCGGAATTGTTGAACCCATTCGGATAATGGTAGAATTTTTCTGAATTTTGGAAAAGCATGCACCGTCTTAGGATGAAAGGGTCCTTTGTGACGAATAAGAATCCGCCGCCTTCATCCTCAGGGGATTTCAACACATTCGAGTACGAGGGAATGGGTTGACCAAATGGAACCTTTGGTGTAGAGTCTAAAAAATGCTACTACTAGGAGTCTAGGACTAATGATCTATATATCTATATGATATGAATTGCAGAGTGGTTTTCAGGAGATAGCCCTCAATGGCTTCCAAACTTTTCATTTTTTGTTTTAAGATTTTTTGTATTTATTTTGATACATAAAATGTAGTGGATTATAACCAATTATATTACCAGTTAAATTTAAAATTTAAAATTTTCTCACTATCTACTTCATAAACCGTTTATAGTTTATTATTTATATTTTAAATCTTTTTTACTTCTTAATTAAAGACAAATGCTCATTCGTATACTATTTGAATACAATTTTACATTTTTATAAATAAGAAATATTTATCACTAAACTAATCCCATAACCACTCCTACAAATAAACTTTGCAAATTACAATTACATTTCAAAAAAATCACAAATGTGCAACTAAATGTAAAGTGAAGGGGCTTACTATATTTAACCCTAAAAAAAAATCGCAAGAATGGAACAATTGTTTTTCTTCCCCTTTAGAATGGGCGGACATCCATGTGCAGTGACAAAAAAATTTTCCCTTTTTTAATGAACGTAAGATGGCCAATTTATTTATTTTTAAAAAATGAATAGAGTTGTTTCATATCCCAAAAAAAAAAAAGAAACAAACCCAAGTTCCTCCATTGTTATATTTTTTCACCATTATTCTAAGAAATTTGCTAAATTGAGTTCCTTAGAGCAAAGAATGAGATATGTGACCAATCCCTTTGTTTTTATTTGCGTGACCAGCCTATTGTTGACAAAAGTTTAAATTTTTAAAAAAGTATTCAAAAATTATGGGAGATAATATTAGGAGTCTATAGTAAAATTATCACACTTCTGGTGTGATTTTCGCCTGTCAATACCATGAAAGAATAGAATAAATCATTATCAATTATTACACGCTAAATAGAATTCGAAAACATACAACATGATCAAGAAACAACAGAATGCTAATTAGGACTATTTAGAGCTTTTTTTTTTTTGCAAGAAATTCAGACACTGTAAAACTTATTTAGGCAAACTTTACCTCAGTGATGATTTAAGTATACTACAAATCATATGATCATGCTCGCATTTTTTCCACATTTTCTTTACGTTTCCTACTCTAATTAAGAGTTCTCCAATTTAAGAAATGTTTATCTCTTAACTAATCCTATAACTGTTTCTAAAAATCCTATAATCATGCTTACGTTTTTCCTACATTTCTTCCACTTTTCCACTCCAATTAAGAGTTTTCCAATTTAAGAATTTTACTCCAATTAAAAGTTCTCCAAAACATAGCATCCTCATTCAACTTGCTTGCATGTTCACTCAAATTAAGAGAACTTTCTTGCATTTTTCCCAATAACTTATTATTTCCTTCAACTTTTTTAAGGTATCCATCTTAACTCTTAACCTAATTGCACTATGAAACATGCTCGCTTACAAGCATTTCAACGACAGCTAAATTTCAAACTCGCAAGATTGCAAAAGGAGGAAATATTTGTTTAGAAAATGAAACGTACACCGCAATGATTATACACAGCAGTTCGAAAAGTTTCAACAACTTTGCTTTGACGAAAGATAAATCTCACATCAAATTCGAAGGACAAAATCCCAACTACACCAATTAAAACGTCGTTTGCATCAAATTAGAAATTTCGATACTGTTTATTCTTTAAACATTTGCATTTTCATTGTTTTTTTAAATATTATTTTCAATAATGTAATATTTTCGATTGATTATTGCTGTTATTGTCTTTCGTCTTTAAATAGAAGTGAAATGTTAGGTAATAGGTCATCGTTTTAGACGTTTTTTTTCATGATTCAATAACAACTTATTACGCAACAGTAAGTATAAAATTTTATTTTATGATCAAAATAATAGATGTCCATTACTATTTTTATATCATCTTTTTCCCTATGGCACAAGTGTTGGTATTTGATTTTTTATGTAACCAAGTTCCCTCCAGATACAAAAATGATAGAATTTGATATGAGAAATTTCTTACGATAGAAAATTTACATCTTCAAATTGTTTGCGACTTAGTTTAAATTCTTGGAATTCGATAACTATGTATAGTGTTTGATATTGTCATAATGACAGTTTCGTACCTTTAGGTCAAAAGAATTAATGTTTCTTATCACAAAAAAATTGTCATTATCTAATTCTTTGTCACTCTGGTCTAAATTGTAATAACGTGGTCGACACTGTTGTTAGGTAATAAATTTCATGTACTTTTAATTTTAACATATTTTTCTGTATTGTATATAACATTTTATTTGTCAAACAGGTACAATGTAAATATACAAATTAGAGATTTCAGGGGTAACATGCATCTTAATCTACAAGACGGACATGCACGATTCGTATTTAGTTGTGATGTTTTTATCTTAGAGAATTACAAAGGAAGGTATAATTTCTTGATATATATTTATTTTTTTAATACTATTTATAGACTATGTAAAAAAATACACTAATTTTGAATTTCGTATGTACTTAATTCTCAGAAAAATGGTGATAGGTTATTCAACCAACGAATCAATTCATGCAAAAATCGTGTATTTTTATTTATAATATGCACTCCACAAAATTCAACAGAATTAATTAAATCACCAATTTTGGCTTTCGTACTAAAAGTTGAATGGTATGAAGAGTGTTCGCACTTTCATGTAAGATTATCAACTCAAATATATAATATTTGTAAGTATTCCATTTTAACAATATGCAATTACATTCATTTTTATTCATATATCATTCATTTTCTAATATAAATTTATATTATTTTTTCAGAATCTATCTTTCGAAGAAAAGGCAGTTCTTGAATGATATACACGTTCTATCATATTTCAAATTATTATTAGACAGATGTTACATTTTAATTGTGTTAGTGCAATTTTTTTAACATTTTTTTATTCACCATTTTATTTTTTTTTAATAATGTTAGCACCGTGCGTAGCACAGGTATTCACTCTAGTTTTCAGAGTAAAAGTACTAGATAACTATTGAGTGCGCCAAAATTAACTTACACTCGACATGATAATAGATGACTTGCACAACTCATTAATCTTCTTTCAATTAAGTACGAGTATTATTTAATATTCTGTGTTCGGTGTTTGTGGTTAAATAATTGACTGTAACTGTATTTTGAAAATTTTTAAAATTTAAAATTTTATTATAACAATCTATATCTATATACATTTTGAGAAGGAATTTTTAGTAACAAGTCTCCACGCATTTTTTCATTACTAATTTCATTTTTCTAGCATTTCACATTTAATTTAATTTATAAAATATTTTTCTTTCAACTTCCACATCTATTCTTCACATTTGAAATTATTGATTATTTTTTAAAATCATTTCATTTCAAATTATTGGTTAATGTACATCCTATATATATATATAAAAAGGAGTTGGTATTTGACTGTTGGGTGATTTTCATCTGACATTTTGAGGGGCAAGTTAGTCAATACATCAGGAGTTTACAACTAAGTAAGGGTTCAGTACCAGCATGATATGCAGATTGATGCGCACTTTGCCTATCTTACCCTTAGTGGGCTGATGTTCCAGCTTTTACTCTTGAAAGTGGCCGTTAGTGTTGCAGTTAAGACAAAGAGGTCTTTTAATGGAGCTTGCAAAAAGAGTTGGAGGGATTACGTTGCATGCATTTACACAAAACCAATTGAGCTTGCAAAAATAGTTGAATGCAGTTACACAAAACCAATTGAGCAAGTCATGATTAGTCTAACATGAATGCATTTACAACACGATTAATTATCTATTTGATAGTGGAAGTTTAACTGCAGACTTTGTCTCTTCTAAAGTTTCACAAAACCGATTGATTGAGCGGTAAAGAGTTGGATGATTATAGTAAGCAATTATAGGTTATTTAATGAAATAGTAATGGACGGAAGATGAGAGACCTATTGGAAAGCATGTCTGAACTAAAACGGAAATCCTCTTGATTTTTTGAAGCATTTGCTGAGCAGTTTTTTTTTTTTTTTGGAACCTACAACAATAATAGGGGTTGTTAACAAAAAGTGTGGTTGTATGAGGTGCTTAACTAAATGGGCAAGGTTTTTGCTCTGTGTTTTTCCATGTACATACCAGATGTGTGCATATCAAATATCTAAATGAACTAGTGAATTCATCGTTCCATTTAGAAAGGCCAACTATATTTGTAACTTTATTATGTAATTTCCCTGTTTTGCAGATTAAGAAGCAAGAGAACTGTACTACAGAAACTTGGTCATCAAGGTACTTTCCAACAGCATTTCTGTCCTTGACATATTATATCAAATAATAGTTACAATTAACTCATTATTTTGGTGTGCATGACTTGCTATTATTTTAACTGCCTTTTAATTTGTGTGTTCTTCTCTTTTGTGTGTTAATGACCATGGCAAATTGCATCTGACCACTGCAATTTGGACTTTGGAATTAGCCTTATTTCCTCTCTTCCAAATTATGTGCATGGCTATGTGTTTATTGAATTGCAGTAGCTATGGTCACAGTTTAAAGGCTTATTCTATTTGTGTTAGCACTTAGGATGGATATCAAAAACTACTGATAAACTTAATTGTAAAAGACAAGCTCACAATCAAAAGGCTAGAGAAAAGTACGCTGCCTTATCAGTGGAAGATAAAGAAAAAGTTCGACAGAAGCAACGAGATGCTTACAATAAACGCAAAGCATCAAAACAAAATAGACTTACCTCTTCCATTAAATCTGCATCAATGAGGAATGATAAGTTGCAGATATTAAAAAGTATTACAGTTGATAGACATCTTTGTTACCTTACTAAAATCCACTAACAAAAACTGTGTAATCCAATTATTGTTGGA